AGGTTGGAGGCCATCGCTAATACAGTAGGTTGGATGATGTTGGAGGCTATCGCTATTATGCAGGTTGGAGGCCATGCTATTAGGTTGGAGGCCATCACTATTAGGTTGGAGGCCATTGCTATGAGGTTGGAGGCCATCGCTATTACAGTAGGTTGGAGGATGTTGAAGGCTGCTATTATACAGTTTCGAGGCCATCGCAATTGGGTTGGAGGCCATTGCTATTAGGTTGGAGGCCATTGCTATTAGGTTGGATGCCATCACAATTAGGTTGGAGGCCATTCCTATGAGGTTGGAGGCCATCGCTATTTCAGTAGGTTGGAGGCCATCGCCATTACAGTATACAGGTTGGAGGCCATTGCTATTAGGTTGGAGGCCATTGCTATTAGGTTGGAGGCCATGGCAATTAGGTTGGAGGCCATTGCTATGAGGTTAGAGGCCATCGCTATTACAGTAGGTTGGAGGCTATCGTAATTAGGTTGGAGGCCATTGCTATTAGGTTGGAGGCCATTGCTATTAAGTTGGAGGCCATCACAATTAGGTTGGAGGCCATTACTATGAGGTTGGAGGCCATCGCTATGAGGTTGGAGGCCATCGCAATTAGGTTGGAGGCCATTGCTATTAGGTTGGAGGCCATTGCTATTAGGTTGGGGGCCATTGCTATTAGGTTGGAGGCCATCACAATTAGGTCATTGCTATTACAGTAGGTTGGAGGCCATCACTATTAGGTTGGAGGCCATTGCTATTAGGTTGGAGGCCATTGCTATTAGGATGGAGGCCATCACAACTATTAGGTTGGAGGCCATTGCTATGAGGTTGGAGGCCATTGCTATTAGGTTGGAGGCCATCACTATTAGGTTGGAGGCCATTGCTATGGTTGGAGGCCATCGCTATTACAGTAGGTTGGAGGCCATCGCTGTTATACAGGTTGGAGGCAATTGCCATTAGGACACTTTATCCTAGTCACATCCCATCAACAACATGTTGAGCGGAACACGCTGATTTCCGAGGCTTGGGCGGAGCGGTCGAAGAGGCGTCGCCAATGCTCACTTCGGGAGCAAAATGCGGAGGCACCGTTTTGGGCGTCGCCAATGCTCTGTTCCCAGCTGGTGTCCTGCAGTACACAAGCATTTATATACGTCGGAGAAGGGCCTGTGCAGCCTAACGACCCCGAGAGCGGATTGAAGAGCAGGAGCAAGGACGCTACTAGGCGCTCCTGGCCTTACTACTAGGACAAGGACGCTACTAGGGGCTCCTGGCATCGCTACTAGGAGGGACGCTACTGGCAAACAATGCAGACATGTTGAAGGCTGCAGTTCTATAGTGCGCGGCGGAAAAACATCATATCCATACACAGCCATCATCGCCAGGTGTGAAGATTACACTGATTACACGCGGCCGGTCAACTGGTCACATTCCTGGAAGGCGTCCCAAAGTGGATGAAGGTGTTTTTCACCGGGATGTGGGCAGTGTCGCATCTCTGGGGGCTGTCGGCGTCCACCTTCGCTGTGAAAAGCTTGGTCTCATCGAGAAGAGAAGAATTGATGACAGGTACATCGGTCTCCGTCCAAAGCCACTTCGGAAGAATCGAAACCACATATGTCATGATGAAGTCTATGATCATTGAATTGAAGTCATGAAGTCATGAATTGATCATTGACTTCAGTACATATGTCTTAGCATTCAGACTGAAGTCTATGATCAATTCTGTTGGGAACAACGCCTGTCGAGAAACTACTGCAGCTTCGACTAGCGCCTGCTTTTGTCCGTTCCCTTGGGAATCGGGTGGAGGTTGATTCTCCTCGGGTGGAGTTTGTCGAGCAGCTCATGGCATCTGGCTTATCTTCACAAAGCCCTAAAGATTTCTTCTACCAGACTCTCTTGTGGAAAACGCCGTTCCTCTAAAATCTAAACATATCACATATCTTAGTAAACCATTCTAAACCTGTGCGAATGGTCCAAATGGTCTCTCCAAAACTTAGAGTATTCACGCTCCACGCTCGTTGACCGATTCTGCAAGTCCTTCATGGCACGCATCTCTCGATCAGCCATCACTCCTGCCAAGATGATGCCAAGGGATGTCAATGGGACTACGAGTCGCAGTCTACAGGGACTTCTTTGGAGAGATGACAATCATGAAAGATCCATTTTTATTTCTTTGATTCTTACCATCAAACGCTCTTGATCCATACAAGATGCACAGTTTGCTAGAAATGTCCCAGCCTGCGACGAGACCAAAGCTGTCCAGATCACTTCGAGACAATCCACAGCTCGGGCGGCTACTTGTGTGACCAATATGTTCATGTTGCTCTTTGTATCAAGAGTTGTCAATTTGAGCCTATACAAATGATATCAAATGATCCATGTCTTTTTTGTGCTGGCCTGCTCCCCCTGAGCCAAGCCTGAGGTTCAATCTACGTGCAACAATCAAGTGCACATGCAAGAGCAAGAGCCATCATGAACAAATTCATCAAGAATCTAATATTGAAGCTACTGCCGCAAGTCACATGCTGAGCCATTTCTCCACTTGCTCACAGAGAGGTTAAAGATCTCCATCGCGCAAAGATCTCAGATATTGCTTGGGTACAGCATCACACGGCAAGCAGCACCAAATGCTTTCGGCGGGATGTTCTTCCCAAACTTCGCACGGACCACGCCGGAGTTGCCATGGGAACGTCGAACCTTGCCCCACATCACGCGGAACTTGGAGTTGTTGATCTCTTTCTTGGCCTTGTAAACGTATGCAACTTTCTTGCCCACGTAGAACTGGGTGTCTTCCTTGGTGCGGACTCCGTCAATCTTCAACAGAGTGCAGTTGCTGTAACAATTGGACTTGCTGCGCTTGTAACCCAGGATCACCCCCTTGGCGTAAAGTCGAATTGGCTGCTTGGTCTTCTTCACCGTCTTCTTTTTGGCCACCTTCTCACCAGCCATCACAATGCCTAGCGCTGGTTTGGGACCCAAGTCTACCTCCCAGCTGAGCCAACCTGCAAAATGGCATGAATGGCAGAATTCTAGCGAATTCAACGGAACGTATCAGACATCACAGAAGTGCCAAAAGCATGTGCTGTGTACACGTAAATGAAACCTTGAACAAGGGATAATGAAAAAAGGGACATGCGACTGGGACAAAGGCTCGGCGCTAGATGCAAACCCAGCTAGCTGAGCAGCTGAGCTCCAAACATCGCTCCTCTTTTGGCTGCAAACACTCTGTACTTCTCTGATCTTCATTCTGGAAGCGAGCTTGCTTGAGCAAGGTCACGCGTCAAACCTGGCCTGGCTTAGATATTGCTTGGGTACAGCATCACACGGCAAGCAGCACCAAATGCT